TAAACCTTTTATTAAATAGAATTTTTATTTTATTCATTCAAAAAGTAATAACATCAGTATAATTTATTTCCAATTTAAACTATTAAATACACCTGGTTAATAAATTATAGAAAATGTTTATTCCATATACCATCGCAAGTATTTTTATAGGGATTTATAAATGTAGTATCTTTAATTAAAGGTCCTAGCTCCCTTACATTAGATTGACCATTGTCAGATATAGGTTTTTGCCAATCATTAGCAGGTTTTCTAAATAAATAAAATATTTTTTAATTAATTAAAAGTTTAATAATTCTCAAACTATACTTACCCTGTTTTCACGAATGTAATCCACATATCCATTACATGCTTACTACACGCCTTTTCATTTGGACTACTATCACAATCTAGTAGTTTTCTACCAAATATATAAGCACGGTCATCCCGGTCACATACGCCCACTTTGGGATCGCAATATAAACTACTGCCTAGTGTCCATTCATAAAAATAAACATTACTACTGGGTGACCCTGCACTTAATAGCTTTGCATATAGGTAGGTGGGACATTTTACCGCCAAATCCCCGTAATAATCGTAAAATGCTTTTTAAAAATCAACAGCGCCGGTATTTACATATCGATTCCTGTGGATATAATATTCTAGTATTTTTGTATAGTTTTCAACTTGGTATATTTGATTGGTTTGTTGTATTAAATCGCGCAAATCTTGTTCATTGTATATGGGATGCCACGCCTTACGGAACACCCGGTTAGGGTACTTGAGGTACTCGTTGTGGTTCACGCCCGACAATATGTCAATAGCTAATAGATTAATTTAAAAAATAAAATTGGGATATTAATTTTTAAAAATTTATNTTTTAATGTCACCCGGTATATTTTGTTGAGTTATTTAAGTTGTAAAATAAAATATAAATAAAAGTGCCAACAATTGTCCAATTAGTACTAAATTAATTTTTAAATTTTATATTGTATAATGTTAAGTTTTCATTTACAGCTTATCAAAATTATTATTATTAAAATTATTTTTATTAATACTATTATTATTATTATTTATAATTAACAACAGTTTAGTAGCAAGTATAAATATTAATATATTGTAGTTGTAATTAGTGATTATAAATAAATTAATGAAAAAAGTAATTCATTTGAACTTTATAATAAGTTTTGAAAGAACACTGTCATAATACAATACAGAATTGGCTAAACTGGCAATCGGTATTTTTTGATTGGATATGAACATCCATTCAATGCTGAGTCAGAATATGTAATTTATATTGTCCTGTGATCTCGGGATCGGCCTTAGTGACCACTTTTATCGGTTTATTTTATCATAATAAATATAAATGTGTGATATATCAATTTTGTGAAGAATTTTATAAGGAACTCGAATATGTAATTAACAATTATGAAACATTAAAATTTAACAAATATAACGTTATTATAAAGATTTTAAGCGATTATTTAACAATTGTTGGGTTAAAATGACGTTATTTATTAATTTAATTAATATCATCGTATTCTACGTTAAATTCTCTATAAAATTGATATATCACATGTTGACATTTTATATAAAATATATCCCGATAAAAGTGGTCACTGCGGCCGATCCCGAGATCACAGGACAATATAAATTACATATTCTGACTCAGCATTGAATGGATGTTCATATCCAATCAAAAAATACCGATTGCCAGTTTAGCCAATTCTGTATTGTATTATGACAGTGTTCTTTCAAAACTTATTATAAAGTTCAAATGAATTACTTTTTTCATTAATTTATTTATAATCACTAATTACAACTACAATATATTAATATTTATACTTGCTACTAAACTGTTGTTAATTATAAATAATAATAATAATAGTATTAATAAAAATAATTTTAATAATAATAATTTTGATAAGCTGTAAATGAAAACTTAACATTATACAATATAAAATTTAAAAATTAATTTAGTACTAATTGGACAATTGTTGGCACTTTTATTTATATTTTATTTTACAACTTAAATAACTCAACAAAATATACCGGGTGACATTAAAATTAAACATAAAAATCTCACCTTGATCAAATTCTTTATTAGCAAAATACTTATGAGCCGTATGTGGCAAAAGGTCGGTACTGTCAGTAGGCTGTGGTAACCCTCTAGGGTGACCACTGGTCACGTTATTGATCTTATCCGGGTCCACCCCCCTCAGGCACTCTAACCACTCATCGAACGTACAGTTAAAATGTTTGGCCATTTGTTTAGCTTTAGTTAAGGCGTCCACTTGTGACGCCACTATTACAGGGTGTCTGTCTTTCTCGTACAAATGGGCCCCACTTTGCATAATAGCCCGCTTGAAGAGACCCCGGGACAGGGGGGATATTATGTGGGCCGATACAGCTAGACTACCAGCCCTTTCGCCAAATATAGTGATGGCGTCCTTATCCCCGCCAAAGTTTTCTATGTTTTCCCTAACCTTTAAAATTATTTAATAAATTTTAACGCAATTTGATTTTTAATTTAAATTTAGAGTATCCAGTTCGCATATTTATTAAACATATTATAACATTAACTTTATTTTTAAAAATCTAAATTATTTAGTATTTTGAGTACATATTATTTACTAGTATTTTTAAACTGGTCACTATAGACGTATTTTATTAAATTTAACATATTAATTTAGACTAGATTTTATATAATTGAAAATAATATCGTACCCATTTCAGTGCCAACAGTTGGTCATGTAAACCGAGATTACCCCGGGCACCCTCTCGGTCCCCATACAGAAACCCAAACGCACCCAACCTATAGTTAACGGACACAAACACCACACCATTGGTGGCCAATACGGAGCCGTTATAGTAAGGCATCTGGTGAATGGAGCCCACGGTCAGGGAGTCGCCAAATATGCCAAACAACGGGTTTTGGCTTTAGTTTTAGGTCAAAGTAGCCGACCCTGATAGATGGCGCCCATATGTTCAGGGTTAGGCAGTCCTCGCTTTGACTGAGGTGTCCATTGACACCCGGTATTACCGGTTGTATGCATGAGTGAGTGGTCTGATTCAGATACTCGTTAGGCTAGGGTTTGATAAATTAATTGATCAAGTAAGAATAGTCTATGTTAATGTTTTTATTTTACGAGTATTAATATCTGATTATTTAATAAGCTAATTAAAAGTATATCACATTTATTTATTAGTTTTAAATTAATGTAAGTGTATATATTTTAGTGAATTATAAGCTATGTTAAGCGAGGTAATTTTATTAAATTAGGTTAAGTGGGATTAGGTTAGGTTAAGTTATGCACTTTCAAATCTGCGTGAGTAATATGTTTTTAATAATTAACTTTCTTACTATATAAAATATCAGCAATAATGTTTGTATATAAAACTTATTTTTTAAAAATAAATAAATTATATTTACATTATTTCCCATTTTAATGGGCACAGGGTTGGCAAACCTAAGAGCACCGATAGGTGGCTGAGCGTAGGGTATGCCCAGAAACTCATCTATTTCTTTATCCAGCACTTTAATGGTGTGTCCAATTACCAGACCTGACCTTGGTTCCCCTGTAACAGCATTTTTCACTTCAACCTGGCAATTTACAAATATTAATGTAATTGAGAACAATACACTAATTAATATTGTAAGCATGATACACGGGGTGACCTAGTATGTTATAAATTATTGTGTAAAATAATTTATTTGTTTGATAATTATAGCAAATAAAATAAAATAAAATATTTTAAATTTTAATTATAAAAATGTAACTAAAAAATAAATTAATTTTTAAAGTTTTAATTATTTTATAGTATACGTGTCAACATTGCAATCAATTGCACGTTTGTATGCTAAAAATAATTAAATTACATTTTCCCGCATTTTATACTAAGGTAATTTTAATTTAAAAATTTTTAGCTCAAATTGAAATGCTTATAAATTATAAGTAATAATAATATTTTTTAAAATTATTTTTCATATTAAAAATTTATGTTTCAAAACTTATTACATTAAATTTACTAGTTAAATAAAAATTAACTAAATTTTTATAACTCAACTGTATGAATTTAATTTAAATTAGTGTTAATCTTTATTAATCGATATTATCATTATAAGTTATAAACAAAATTAGATTACTTTTTATTCTGTAAGTTAATTAAATAATTATGTATTAGTAAATCAACAATTTTATTTTATAAAAAATAAGCACATGTTATGGTAATTTTTAATAATAAAATTTAATCAGCAATCTTGAATTCCTAAGCAATGACTGTATAATCAAATAATTCAGATATTGAAAACAACCGGTAGCCATTATTGTTATTGTATAACATAATAGTGTAATGCAAAACATATATTGTAAATGTAAACAATAATTTTTTCAAAATATAAAATTTTGTTTCAATATTCCCATTTAAATTGTTAAATCATATAGTGTACTAATTATTATGTATAATACTAATCGTAATCATTGGAATAACTTTACTAGGTCAAACCGGTTTGGTATGTGTGTGGTATTCATATAACATTTAAAACTATCTTAATAAACTATGTTAGGTGCATTTATTTTTGGATGTATATTTAAAACTCTCAAGTATGATTAGATTTAGGGGTTGTTAAAAAATAGATCTTAAAATAAATGTTTTTGTTTGTACATAATAAATACTCTATTTTTTACCAGATCGCACCAGAGACAAAAGGATCCAAGTGATCAAGGAGTTTTACTGTAGTATATGCACCGACACCTACCCCATAGACCGGTGGGTGTCATGCGGTTGTGACCATAGATTTTGCGCCGACTGTATGACCGGACACCTGACGATTAAAATTAACGAGAGTCAATTGGAGGGCGTGGCGTGCCCAGGGTACCGGTGCTCACGTCCAGCGCCCCACCACCTTGTTAAGAAATTGGATCCAGACACTACTATGTATGAGCGATACGTAACATTATCTCTAAAAACTTGGATTAGGGACGCACCGGATGTTGTAAGTGAGCTTGGTATAATTGTAAAAAGTTATTTAAATCTTTTGTTTGGTTTTAATTCAATATATTTAAAATTTAAATATACTGTAGTATTATATGAATTGTAAAAATAAGATTACAGTTTGAAATGTGCTATTACATTTTAAAAATGTACTTACAATTAGAAATTAGTATTTTAATTATGATTTACAGGTAGTATATAGACTTTTATTTCATTTATTTTAAAAATAACCTTGCTTAGGACTATTGCCCCAAGTGTGATCAAATTGTGCAAGGTGTTGACGGAAGTGCTACATGCAACACGTGCATGCTCACATTTTGTCCCAAATGTAAAAGGTCATATCATGGCAGTGTAGATTGTGAGCAAGCTGAAAGGGATCGTGATGAAAATGTGCTATCTGAAAATACTATTAAGCGAACTACCAAACCATGTCCCGGGTGCAAAGCGCCTGTTGAGGTAACATATTTAATTAGCACCATGCTTAATTTTTTACAATTATTTAATATTACAGAAAATTTCCGGTTGCGATCATATGATCTGTCACAAATGCAAAAATCAATATTGCTGGCTATGCTTGGTTATCATGGAAAAAAGTCTATGGTTTAAACATACATGTCAATAAATCAACTTACTATTTACTATAATAATATTGTAATTTTGTTTATTTTGTATCATGGCTTAAAATATCTATTTTTATTCTTACTTTATTAAAATAAAATTTATTATGAAATTGTATTATTGTAATGAAAATATTATCATTAATTTAAATACCTTAAAAATACCGGTTGGGGTTTTAACCCATTAATAATCTAATATAATTTATGTAATAATGTTAATTGAGCAATTAAAAATTATTACAGTTTGCATTATTATAATAATCTCAATAAATATCTAATAGGTTAGGTTAAATTGTAAGTTTATTTTTTAATTTTCGTTATTGTGTTTTCTAAATAAATAAAATAAGTGTGCATTATTTAATAGTATTAATTTAATTTAATCAATATTAATCTTAATTTATGTTTATTTCTATGATAATATACAAAAATATTTTAGTTTATAGGCTGCGAGTTCATTTAATCATTATGTATTAGTAACTCTACAAATTTGCTTATAAAAATAAACACATGTTATGGTAATTTTTAAAAATAAAATGTAATCAGCTATATCATATAACATTCCTAAGCAATGACTGTATAATCATATGATTAAAATATTGTAAACAACCGGTAGCCATTATTGTTATTATACTGCATAAAATTTTGCTACAAAATATACTGAATATTTAAAAATTAATTATTAAATAATAAATACTTTTGTTTCTATACTACTAATTTCATAGTTAATTTAAATAGTATATTCATTATCATGACTTACTGTAGTCGTAATCATTGGAATAACTTTACTAGGTCAACTCGGTTTGGTATGTGTGGTATTCATATATTACTTTACTTTAATAAACCATGGGCACTGTATTAAATAATATTAATAATTTAAATTTATTTTTATTAACAGATCGCACCAGGGACAATAGGATCCAAGTGATCAAGGAGTTTTACTGTAGTATATGCACCGACACCTACCCCATAGACCGGTGGGTGTCATGCGGTTGTGACCATAGATTTTGCGCCGACTGTATGACCGGACACCTGACGACTAAAATTAACGAGAGCCAATTGGAGGGAGTGGCGTGCCCAGGGTACCGATGCTCACGTCCAGCACCGCACCACCTTGTTAAAAAGTTGGATCCAGATAATACTATGTATGAGGGATACGTAACTTTATCATTAAAGACTTGGATTAGGGACGCACCCGATGTTGTAAGTGAGCTTGATAAAATTGTTTAATTTTAATTTAAAATTTAAGCACAATGTGGGATCCACCAAATTAAATTAATTTTAAATAATCTGTAGCTATATCTAAATTATTTACATAAAGTTACTGTTTTAAGAGTATTATTATGTATTTTTAAAAATATATCAAGTTGATATATTTTATTATTATTTACATAATCATATTATTTATTAAATGAAATTTTAATTTATTTTTTAATTTGTTTTTTATTGTATTTTTAAATATTTAGGATTATTGCCCCAGGTGTGATCAAATAGTGCAGGGTGTTGTGGGCAGGGCGACATGCAACACATGTATGTTCACATTTTGTCCCAAATGTAAAAGGTCATACCATGGCAATGTGGATTGTGAGCAAGCTGAAAGGAACCAGGTTGAAAATGTGCTATCTGAAAATACTATTAAGCAAACTACAAAACCATGTCCCGGGTGCAATGTGCCTGTTGAGGTAACCTATTTAATTAACAAAATGTTTAATTTTTATAAAAATTATTCAATATTCCAGAAAAATGATGGTTGCAATCATATGACCTGTCTCAAATGCAATAAAAAATATTGCTGGCTGTGCTTGGGTCTATGGGTTGGTCATAGAAATTGTCAATAAATTATTATTAATTATACAATATTATCTTATTTTTGTTTATTTTGTATCGTGGTTTAATTTTTAAACTTTAAAATATCTATGTGTTTCTTATTATGTTACCTTTATAGAAATATAATTTGTTTTTAGTTCATTAATGAAGTTACTATAATTTATGTAGTTGATTTTAGTTGAACAATAAAAATTATTTTACAAATTATTTTCCAAATAAATAACTAAAGTATATTTAATTATTATTTATATAAAGTAAGTATAAATAGTACTTGTACAGTTTTACACAAATAAATAATTTCTCCGATACTCATACAAATTAAAAATTAATTTGTACTTGTGGAATTAATAATCATCTAAAATATATCAGGACATATTGAGCAAGTTTGCACTAAATTTTAGTGCAAATAATTATTACAGTATTGATAATGTAAAACAATTGTAATTAAAAACTATTAATATAGATATTATATTTTTTTTATATATTTTACATGATACTTTTTATTAATGCAACTTATTATAAATTTATTAAAAATTTCCACTTCAATATAATTGCTCATTTAGGTAACATTTATAATAAACAATATATTTGGGTAATTAGCAATATACAATTTAATTTATTAATTTTTTTACAATTATTAAATATTTAATATTAAATTTAATTTTACTTCAATGCTTCATGTAATCTTAAATCAAGTTCAATGTAACTCATAAAAGTCATAGTAAACGTAGCTAGGTGTGTGATCAGAAAATTGTCACCTGGATTATTTCCTATAAGAGTACAATAAGAGTACACTTTGGAAACTTAATTTCATAATACATTTAGTAATAAAGTAATGCTAAATTGTATAAAAATATTTATAATATAAATGTCATGTCATAATATATCTATCACACGAACGTGCCCGAATATATAGATAAATTATCTATGTCAAATTTTAAACACATATACACCACCTATTAAAAATATAATTTATCAGGATACTAACAGGACATAGATAGTTATATTATGCTCCTAAGAATGCAAATATTACTATTTTTGGTACTATTTTAATGCTGACAGACATGCACTGTTAAAAGTTGCCATGTACCTAATTAATATACTTAGCTTCTTAATATAACAAATGTTTTTAATTTTAAATTTCCCATATACTGGCACATAAGTTTTGAATTTGTATAAAAAGGGTTGTTATAGTTAGGATGGATTATAAAAAGTTTAGTTGAGAACTAATAATTAAAATAATAAATATATTATTTAGAAAACAATATGTATTTTCAAATACTATTTGTTAGCATTTTATTAGCCAATAGTCTGGCCCTCGAGGACGACAAATACGATACAGACATCGAAAAGGTATGAAAATAATTATTTTATAAAACACAATTAAACTTGATAATTAATAAATATTACCTTAATTATATAAAATAATTTATTGATTTTACGGATAAATTAAACCGGTCTCGGGATATAGTCCATAAATATTTTCCATATATAAAGTTAATAACTTATAACATTAATATAAAAATCATTACAGTTT